TTCTGGTATTGTATACCAATTTATCAGCCAGTCTGACTTTTCTAGCACCACCCCCCAATCTATCTATTTTTTTCCCTCTGCATTTTGGACTTCAGGCGTTTATCAGTCAAACAGCCAACTGTTCTGACACCACAGACAAGAAAGCACAAATCAGATGAGAAAGTTAAAGGAACGAGTTCTCGTCTCCACTTCCAGTAACAGACAAACCTCACCTGCCTGCAGACCCTTAGAGCTTTCTGCTGGACCAGAATAAAACTAAAACCCATCCTTTCATGGTGAAGAGCAGCAGGTTGACACAAAGTCTGGTTGGATGAGTCTCTTGTGCTACGTGTCACACTGGTGGAGAGTTGTTGCTCTGCCATAAGTGCGCCAAGGTTTTTCACTTTGCGTGCCATGTTCCAACTCTCCTCAAATCTCCCAGGCAAGCTGCTGTGATATATTTATTACTGGTCTCAGATGGAAATGCCAGAACTTGTGTCTTTTAATTTTCATGTTCATCTTAAATTCAGTGATTTGTGGTTCAGTGTTGGACAAACTCATGAGCCTGTTTTTGTGTTGTTTTTACATCTTAGATGTGTGAGTGTTTTTTTCCCTGTTGGCAGTATGTTGTACTTGTTGATGAATGGTTTGTTCTTTCCATATTTCTTCTGTGCTGAGTTTGGTTTTTTTTTACAAGTAGGGAATGGATTTTCAATATCTGAGATGGCGTATAACTTCTAACCTGAAGACCAAAGAGTAAGGAGGGAGACAAGTTTTGAAGAATTCATCCCACTGGATAAACAAGTTAATACTCTTTTTATTTATTTTGAATGTTGTACTTGTTAGAATTAAAAAATATATCACTTTACAAATCGTAAAAAACAGAAAGCCCTAATTTGATTACTGATCTTTTACATACCACAGTATTATCTAAAGATAGTACCGCAGTATTTGGTATTACCGGGGCTTTATTCAGATGAACTATTTTAAGTTTATTTTTATTTTAAGTTAAAATATATACTTATATTTTTAATTCTTAGTTTTTCAAAAATTTTTTATATTTATAAGGTTCTACTAATCTTATATAGCTGGGAAAGTTTTAAACAAGCACAAAGCTTGGGACTCAAGAGGATAAAACTGGTGGGGCACAGCCCCCCGTGGCCACCCACACTTGTTGCACCCCTGGTGACTGACAGGTGATGTTCCACAGTGAAATGACGAGCTGGAGCACTGYRCATCTCTCTTAGATCTAGCTGGGACAAGACTTTTCAAATTTGTCTTCTGAGGTAAACAGCTGATTTGTTGTCAGGCTGAGCTTTATGGGAGAAGTTTTCTGTTTGAAGCCGCTCGGCCCTGTTAGAACCGCTGCACTGTGCATCTCTCTGCCAGAGACAAATAAAGATTTAATTTATGCGGCACTAATAGCGGCAAGGCATTTCTTATTTTGTGAATGTTTAGTTTCTAATAAGCGCCACTGTTTGTTTTAGCAGCCCGACTAGTGTTTTTCTGATCTCCGCTGTTCATCGTCAGCTCAGGTGGCGCCCTGCAGCACGAATCAGCTGTGCGGTATAATCGGCCCGACCCGTGCTGAGGAGAGGTAGAGGAGTCATTTGATATGGCATAGTTTGGAGCACAACGGATCCAGAAAAACATCAGAGCCCCAGAACCTGTCGCTCCTTGATGTCGCGCTTGCCCTGCGCAGATGCGTCACGTGCGTCAGACTGGTGGTTCACTCCAAGTTCCCTTCAGCCTGTGGGCCAGTTCATGGACTGTACCACCAGCCCTCTGACCTACGTCTGGGCCAGTGGTGGTTCAGCTCGGACTACTAAACTGCCAGCCCACTGGGGATTTCCCCGGTAGCTCCGTATGCCAGTAACCATGAACAAACAACAGCAACAACAAAACTCTTTGTTGGAAACTAACGAGCTAGAACAAGAAACACCTGGAAGAGATGAGGAACAGGTGAAGGAGGGTGGGGCTGGAGCAAAGACAGGCAGGAGGAGGTAAAAAGAGAAAGACAGGACAGGACAGAACAACCAAAAAAATCTGAGGCTCCTATGTTGAACAGTTTCTGAGTTATAAGCATTTTTGCATGTCAAACACCCCTTTTTCAGATAAATTGGGGGTCCGTTGGGTCGGGGGCACTGATTGGTGGGCCTGATTGATAGAGCTTCATCAGAGCTAAACAACAAAAGAAATCTGAAGCTTCCATGTTGAACAGTTTCTGAGTTATAAGCATTTTTGCATGTCCTGACACCCCCAATTTGAAAGGACCCCCCTCCTCAAATATGGGGTCTATCATAAAACTGTTGGCTGGGGCAGTGTAGGTCAGACTCATCTACAGTCCTGCCAAATTTCATGTTGACCGGTGCAGCCGTTTTTGTACTACGGTTGACCAAAAATCACTGAAAAAAAAAAAACGTATGTAAACAATATGACCATAATAAAACACTCACACAGACACAGACCGTGACAGAAACTTCATTAAATGTCTCCCATATAGCCCAGACAAGGGCAGAACAGTCAGATTTTAATTTAAAATTCATACATTTTGGATGAGGTATCTATTTAGTGAACATTTATTGAATAGTACAGATGAGTTCCATTTTAGACTTCCTCGTAGACCATGAGGTAACGTTGAGCTGCTCCACAAAAAAGACTGAAACTCATTATTCCCAGGCAGTTTTCTGATGCTGGGATCTGTGGGAATTTACCATAAGATAAAAATGAGGGTCAGGTTCAGACCAAAGTTGTGCAGTTTAAGAAACATAATAATACTAATGATATGTAACAGACAGCATGGGATTTTATATCTGATGTGTTAGGAATAAATTCAGGTGTATTTTTCTGCCAGAGCAGAAGTGACCCGAGGTCAGACTTTCAAGAGTTTAATTGTATTTTCATCCACCCTCAGTAAGTCTGGAAGTCCAACTGACTAGAAATGAAAAGCTGACAGGATTAGTGTCACATAGACTTACTGTGAATGTACCGTATTTTCCGCACTATAAGGCGCACATAAAAGCCTTAAATTTTTTCAAAAGCTGATCATGCGCCTTATAATCCGGTGCGCATTATATATGGATCAATATTGAGCCGCAACAGGTCTGGCAACTACGGTAAGACGACTCCATTTTCCCCGTAGAAGAAGTAGAGCGCAGTGCATACTGGGATAGCTATATAAAACGGCATTTCATTTCCATTTGCGTGTTTTTGTAAAGACCCTGAAATGGCTCCTATTAAGAGACACGCGTACAACGCAGAGTTTAAACTCAAGGCGATCAGTCACGCAGTAGAACACGGGAATAGAGCAGCAGCGAGAGAGTTCAACATTAACGAATCAATGGTGCGGAAGTGGAGGAAGCAAGAGGATGAGCTGCGCCAAGTAAAGAAGACGAAACAGAGTTTCCGCGGGAACAAAGCAAGATGGCCACAGTTAGAGGACAAACTTAAACAGTGGGTTGTTGAGCAAAGAGCAGCAAGTAGAAGTGTCAGTACAATCACTATTCGATTGAAGGCAACAGCGCTAGCACGCGAACTTAACATCAATGATTTTAGAGGCGGTCCTTCTTGGTGTTTTCGGTTTATGAAAAGACGTAATCTCTCCATCCACACACGAACTACTGTTTCACAGCAACTGCCAGCTGACTACCAAGAAAAGCTGGCCAATTTCCGCACATACTGCAGAAACAAGATTACTGAAA